CAGTTATGATTATTTTTAACCAAAAAAAGAGGTTTTGCCTCATATATTGAGGCATTTCTGGGAAAGTAACGTGTAAATGCTTAAGAAAAGACAGTGGCATATGGTTTTTCATCTGTATAAGTTCAGTATCGCAGGTTCTGTAATATTGCAAGGTGTGATTCTGGCAGTTAGCAATTAAAAACTTGGAAATAGAGGGATGTAACTATAGCTGATTTTAAAATGTGGATAGTGGCAAGCTATATCTTTGTGTCTCTAGAAAGCTGAACATTACTTGCAGTGTGATGGCCTGGACCTAATACTACAAGGCGCAGCAGAGAAAAACTGTTCCTGGATGGGAAAATTCATTTTGCGTGTTGTAATGATATACAGCGATTGAATGTATTTAAGTTATACACATATATAAATACACACACGCACATGCGCGCACACACACAAAAACTATTCCTACTCTTCATTTTGTCTTTTACTTTGAAAACACCGAAACCACAATTATAAAACGGGATTAATAGTCTTCCCATCATCTATTTTATAAGGATGTAATAGGTAAGATAACATAGAGCAAAAAGAGATGCCCAGGAGTATTATAAAATGCAAAGGGCCATATAAATGGAAGGCATAACTATTTCTAGTAGGTAGCATGGTTAACCTCTCAAGAGAGTGCTTGACAAATTTTCCTCTTTCTTGAACCAGTTTTCTCCTTCCCGGGAGAGTGCTGGCAGTATAATGATGTAACATCAAGGAGAAAGTGTATGTGAGAGAGAGACAGAGAGATGTGTGAAAAAGAGAGAAGACAAACAGCCCTGTGAGATGAGAGCAGCGGTAGGCGATTAAAAGAAGTGAAGTTTATGTCGATTTTTCAGGGTTAGTTCAAACCCAGTTCCTTTCCCAGTGCTGGCCATAACTGCTTTTAAAACATTTTATTAGGAGGAATTGAGTAGGTGAAAGAACAGCTTTCCAGCAGAGGCACAAAATCCTTCCTCTCACTGTAGGTTTAAAAGTTAGAATGCTTTAACTGCGTCCATTTAGTGACACACGGGAACAGAAGTCTGTTAGCCTACCGGGTAGTTACTGTCAAGTGTTTAGTCTCCTCTGGGGTTGGCCTCCTATTTGCAGAGGCCCTTCAATTTCTTGGACTTTAACTCTAATAAAAATGTCTGTCCTGACTTCCACTGATGGAGACTTAGGGGCTGGATTCCATCCACTCTAAAGGCCCTGGCATAGGGAGGATCCTTGGCTGCCATTTTGTAAACAGACTTACTGAGAATTTCTGATGCACTGTGTCTCTAGTCCAGACGCCTTGGCAATGCTACGATGAAAACAGCAATTCTTTGGCTAAATCTATACCTCTGAGTGAGCTTGTCTCATTTAGGGCAGAAGGACACATAACAAGTGGCACTGTTACTGCCTGTCATGCTCACAGTGACATAAAAATCATCTTACGCAAAGCATGAGCCTCTTCTCATGTTGTCCTTCCATTCCTTCAATAACATCTCTTTATTTCAATGTTTCTGTAGCAACTATAGTCAGGAAAATGCCCCCCAAAATTCAAAAATTTCCTTTGGCTGATCAATAACCTATTTAGTTTTTTTTTTTTTTGGAGAGGTTTTTGCTATAGGGTGCGTGTGCTCGCCAGACAGACAGACATAGAGACAGAAAGCAAAAAATCACCCCCCAGGGAGGATGGTCATGCTGCAATCCCTTCTCCTCCATTCTCCTCTTGGGATCTTGGGCACGCACGCACATGTGCCCGGCGTGAGTTTTAAGCCACCGGGTCCGGGACGTGAACTGTGGTCAACTACTTGGGAGTCCAGCGACATAGCCATTACGCTAACTGCTGGTTCCCTCAATAACCTATTTAGGCAGAAATAAACTTAATTTATATTAGACCGGTCTCATTCCTGATCTCAGAGTATCAAACATAGGTGGCCCTTATACAGAAATAATTAAGCAATTATGTTTAATATTCTGATTCTAACACTTAAAAAAGAGGCATACTGATTGATGGCCAGGGTGTGGGTTTTCTATGTACAGAATGCCTTTAGAGACTCATTTCTACCATTGTAACAAAAGGCAACTTTGCTGAATGACATTGAAAACACTTCTTGTTCTAAGGCCTCTGCTTCCAAGAGAGGCATACATAGCTCTAGGGTTTTCCTTACTACAAACTCTATCTTCAAAACAAATTTGTTTTATTTCAGTCTCCCAGTTTCCCAGTCTCTTTGCGTTTCTAGCGTACAGCTTATTGGATTTATGAAAGTTCAGGAGAAATTAAAGTGCTAATACATCCATCTGAGGCTTTGAGGGCTGTGCTAAATTCTGGAATCAATATTGAACAAGGGTCTTTGAGTAAAGCTTAACTGAATTCTGATAAGAATTAAATTACATTTTAGAGTCAGCATGGATGGATCTCATTAAAGAAAAATCTTGATTAAAAGTTCTTATGGGGGAGAGCAGTGAAAAAGGACAGTAAGCATTTTCATTATTTGAATTCACCCAGTTCTTCCAAGCATGTGATTAAGTATCTCTCAGGTCGGTTTCCTCGTCGTAAGCGTAGTTTCGTAGTGTCGTTAACATACAACCACAACACAATTCTGGCAGCATGTACCATCGCAGAGATAATGGAGGCTGAAGCCCGAGCCCACACTCTGTTTATTTGGATTAGATTTTATTCTGTCTTGATACCAACTCAGGAAAACAAGTAAAGAATTTAAAAATGAGAGAAAGGCATGTCTGCAAGGTTAGGACAACTTCCTAAAGCCCAGAGAATCTCACTGCATGTACAAGGTTCTCACATGGAAAACCATTTAACAGAAACCTTATTATAATCCATCTCAGAGTAACATCCATTCCACTATACTTTCCTCCGCAGGCCAAATGTGTTCTACAAGGATTGCCTCCTTTCATCCTCAACAGCCTTTGGTGAAAATAATGTTGTCATCCCATGGTAGAGATGAGAAGACCAAGGCTTAGAAAGGTCACTGATCCTTTCTAAGGAGACAAAGCATTAGGTGACGGAACCAAATTCAAACGCATGTTCTTCTCATCTTGTATTCTTTCAAAATACGATTGCAATATGGTTCCTAGCTTATAAGGGGATAAAAACAAAACAAAAAAACCGAGGAGGCTGCCATGGGATCATTACTAGAGAAGCAAGAAGCAACAAGGTAGTCAAAAAAGAGATAGGAAATGAAGCGAGAGCTATAACACACACAGAAGTTTGTGGCCACTAAGTGGAAGGACCCATAGCCCCAGAGGTGCCTACAGGCTCAGCTGATGTCATAGCTGTAGAGCTCACGGCGGTAAGTAATTGCATAACGGCGGTCCAAGTCCTTACGAACCATAGTCCTATCGTCTACTTTAACAGGCAGGGACTTATGTACTGCTTTTCTTTTCTCAATGAAGATTTCACTGTGTGATATTAGAAAAATTCTTATTTCTTAAAGAGGTAAGTTTTTATTTACTGGACATCCCCTTACATATAATTGCTTCTTTGCATCGAGAGGACACTACTGTGCTTGTCTTACGTTTTTAACAAACTCAAACCATGCAGCATCTGCAAACAATATGGGAATAAGAATGTGAGCAATTAAATATAGTCCTGGCTTTCATACTGATACTTTCCTCTTCTCTGTGGCTCTGAATTCTCATTTCTAAAGGGAGAAGTTAGGCGAATGATCTTAAGACCTTTTTATATCCCCCTCCCCCAGCTTTAATATTGCTGGCTCTATAATAATGCCACATGTGTTTAAGTTGCCTTTGGGAGGAAATTGAAGTAAAATTTGATTTAGGAGATGTAAGCAATATTTAACTTTATGAGGTCTTAATCTCGAAAAACTTTCAGATCTATGCTATGGACCCCAGAGTTAGAATGAATTAGAGCTGTCAGGTTTTGGCCTATTCCAATCGGGTCACAAACTTCTCTCGTAGAGATGAACCTTAGCGATCTGCAAAGTTATGTGTGGTTCCTGGCACCCTGCACCAATGTTTCTCTTCTGATGGAATGATTAGACACTGAGTACCAAACCGTGGCTCTTGGGGGTTTGCAAAATAGCACTATTCTTTCTTTAATGTGTTAAATAGAAATCAAAATTATGCACAAGGACAGCAAGGAAATTTACTTTAGATTAAAAAAAATTGAGTTAATTAATCAGATTCTCCTATCAGAGGATGCTTAATATATAGATTAAATAACCTTGCAAAAATCTAAGATAATATAACTATGAGTATGTTTTTAGTCACCATTACATTCTTAAAATACAATCATTGTATTTTTTTTAAAAGAAAACAAAAAGTACATTTAATTGACACAAAAATGAAAAGTTATAATGTATGTGGTAATGTCTTTGTCTTGACTGATATGCACTGCATTCGTGCTGAGAAAAGCCATGTTGTACACTGTAAATGAAATGTAAATAATGATTAAATGTAAATAATAATAAAAAAGAAAGTAATAGCACAGTCACAATTGATGTTCATGTCTCTTTAAGATATTCTATAATAAAAAGTTTCTGTGTGCATTATTAAAAGCTATCAGGATCTGGGGGTTAAAAAAGCACTCTGGGTAAACAAAAGGTGATTCAGAGAGTCCAGGAGTTTGGAAAAGCACTGACAAGTCCAGAGATCCTGCAAAGTTTCCCCCCAAAAGTCCTGGGACTTCAAATACAAGGTGAGCTCCAACAAGAAGAGGTATCACTCTGCTACTTGGGAAGCCTTCTCACGCTTCAGGCTTGCACATACATGTTTGAAAGCCACAGGCAGATGATCTTCCCAGCAGACCACTAACCCACCTTTCTTACCTCATATAAATGGGGGGGACACAGCAAAAACTGCAATATGCCGATTTTCACCTACACACACACACACACACACACACACACATACACTCTTGCACACACTTTGAAGTCTGGGGAGAAATAACAGTTTTATGGCCACATTCTATCTAGTATTAGGGCAAAGAAGACATCATGACAAAGCACCTTGGGAACAAATCTGGAACTTACAATGTAGCAGGGCTCGCAGTATGCTTTCTTTTCCACAGCGTAGAAGGGCTGCCCTCGGAGCTTGTTGTTACAGATGATGCAGGTAAAGCAATCCACGTGGAAGACCTGGTCCATGGCTGTGCATCCAGTTCCTTCCCCAACGACGTTTTCCCCACAGCGAGCACAGCGGCCTAGAAGACAAAGGTTGACTGCTAAAAAAAAAAACCCAAAAATGTGGTTCGTAGGTAGAAAAGCACAGGTGGGTGAGAGGCTTGAGCTCTAGAGTGCTAGAGCACAGTCGAGTAACGATGAATGGTGACAACTCAAGGCATGAGGGGCTTCAAAGTTCACAGAACACATAGAATGCTAATTTGTTTTGGTGCAAAACATTCTGAAACCCATGCAGTTTCTTCATAATATGCATTTTCCATAGCTGAGAGACCACATATACTTGAAGTAAGAAGAGTGGATTTCAAATGTGCCCAACACAAAGTCATGATGACGTCTGGGATGGTGAACATATTCTGTATTCTAATGTGATCATTGCATACTGTACATGTGCTCTGAATAACCACACTGCACCCCCAGAAATACATACAAGTTTTATATGTAAATTAGAAATTATATTTTAAACAGTCAAGAAGTACTTCAGTCCTTTCAAAGCAGCCATCAGTGAGTAAAACAACAGATTCATAATATCAACAGCAGCAAAAGAGGCATTGTGGCTGGGGGGCGCCACGCC